CTCATCAATAGCTGTAGATAACTCTAAGCTACTTAATATAAATGATGTTGTTGCTGTTGCTGCATCTGCTGCTGCATCTGCTGCTGCTGCTGCTGCTGCATCTCCTCCTGTTGCTGCTGCTGCTACTTCTCCTTCTTTAGACACACCATTCTTATCACCATCACCTGCTGCTGAATCTCCTCCTGCTGCTGCATCACCTCCTGCTGCTGCATCTGCTCCTGCAGCACCGGTATCAGCAGCAGCAGCAGCAGCAGCAGATTTCTTATTACCTCCTTCTTCTCCCTCTTTTTCTTCTCCTTTTTCTTCCTCTTCTTCTTCTTCCTTAACAGCAGCAACCTTTGGCTGCAGCAAAGATTCATCAGGCTCCTCTATCTCATAACCTAATACATCTTCTTCTTCCTCCTCCTCCTCCTCTGCTGCTGCTGCTGCTCCTCCTCCTCCTGTACCTGCTGCTGCTGCTGCTGCTGCTGATGGGGAAGGAGGAGATTCAGTTTCTTTTATTGATTTTGTTGCCTCTGTTGGATCATCAAAGAAATCATCAGGAAGTCCTTCTTCTATTACTATTTTTCTTCTTTTTCTTTTTTCTTCTTCTTTTTCTTCTTTTTCTTCTTTTTCTTTTTCTTCTTCTTTTTCTTCCTTGTCTTCTTCATCACTATTATAACCTCCTAATAAATCAGAACCTGCTGCTGTTGCTGCTGCTGCTGCTGCAGCTGCAGCCTGCTTCTGTACTCTTTCTACTTCGGCTGCTGCTGCTGCTTCAGCTGCTGCCTTAGCTTCTTCTGCTGCCTTAGCCTCTGCTGCTGCCTTTGCCTCTGCTGCTGCCTTTGCTGCTGCTGCTGCCTTTGCTGCTTCTGCTGCTTCCCGCTGCTTCTGCCGCCGCAGTTTCTCCTGCCGCATAAGCTCCCTAACGGAATTCATTGTGGCAGTGCAGCAACAGCAGCAGCAGCAAGAGATGAGCAGCACAGCTATTTATTAGCAGCAAAATCAGGTGTATGTACACCGCAAATTTCTTCGTTATTGCTGCTGCTGCTGCTGCTGCTTTATTCACCCTTAGGCTCGGGAGCCACAGATAGAGGGAGATAGGCAGGCATTGCCTTAAGGCTTATCAAGGGAAGAACAACATTATAAATATACATAAAATATTGTTTTATAGAGTTGTTGTTGTTCTGAACAAGAAAGAATATAGAAAGAAATGATAAAGATGAATTCTTACTATGGGGCTGGAGGGGTAGACTGCATGCATGCATGCAGCTTTGCATGCAGCAGAAATAGAAAAGAAAAAAAATGGAAGAAAAATATAATTGTTAAAGGAATATTTTCTTTTTCTTCATGATATAATTGTTGTGCTTATCTGTACATACACCTGAAGAATATCAGGAGGTTTTTGTGTGGTGGTAATAAGGTGGTTTCTTGCTGCTGTTCGTCTTCTTTATTCTCTCTTGTTGCTGCCGCTGTTACTGCTGCTATTTCCTTTCTTCTCTTAAAGAAATAAATATTCTTCTTTTTTTTGCAGCTTTCCCCTCCAACTTCGCTGTGATCACGGCAGTCTTTTCTTCGCGATCACCTCGGCGCAGTTGGATAAATACATTTTTATTTGTTTAAAAATAAATTAATTTTTAAACAAATAATACTTTTTTATTCAATTAAGAAGTAATGGAGCTGCTTTATGCTGTTGGTACACCTCATGGAGGTGCTTGTGCCCTTGTAGCATCTTACGCTTTCCCTCCTGGTGGTGTAACAATAAGCGCATTAGGAAGAAATGCAGCAAAACAAGTAGAAAGAGTAAGTAAATATTCTTCGGTTTTTTCTTGATAAATAATTAAAATAAATAAAAAACAATTATAATTCAAATTTTTACCTCCTTCTGTACATGGGAACCTTCTTTTTTCCCCTTATTCAACTTTTTTTTTTCTTCTTTTTTTCTGTACTACAGACCATCTGTCTATACACCCCAGAGGGAGATTTTGATGAACCCATCACAATTATTCGCTATTTATGCAATAAATCAGAATTTAAATCTACTCTTTTAGGACAAGAGAAGAATCTTGAGGAACAGGTTTGTTTAAATTATATTCTTATTTATTTATTCTCCTTTATTTTATCCATTTATAACGTATTGAAGGAGTATTGTTAGGCACATCAATATTAACACTTTTTTCTTTTCTTGTTTCTTTCCTTTTTATTTCTTTCTTCTTTCTTCTTTCTTGTTGATGTTGTTGTTATTGCATTCTCCTTTCTTATCTTTATTTTCTTTTTTTTTTAATTATTTTTCTTCTTTTCTCTGTTGTTTTTTCCTTATTTAGGCCACTATAAACCAATGGTTATCCTTTTGTGCATCTAAAGGATTTGACGTTGGTGCAACCAGCGATCTAATTGAATTCAATTCTTCTTTAGAGAAAAATACTTTTCTTTGTGGCAATAATCTTACTGCTGCTGATCTTGTAGGCATGGCATCCGTACATAAAGCTATCGTAAGCAGGGTTTAGGGTTTAGGGTTTAGGGTTTATGGTTAAGGGTTTGGGGTTTGGGGTTTGGGGTTTAGGGTTATTTAACGAAGGAGTTATGTAATTGTTATTATAACTATTATTTATATCTATATGTTTATTGGCACAAATATATATACTTGTATATTATAAATATTATTATTTTATTTCTTCTTTCTTCTTTTTTTTCCTTTTTCCTCTTTTTTTATAGAAGAAGGCAACAGCAAAAGAGTTACAAGTAATAAAACATGTAACAAGGTGGTATAATCACATGCAACATCTACCAGGTAATCAATGTATACAACAGGAAGCTGCTGCTGTTGTTGTTGCTGCTGCTGCTGCTGCTGTTGCTGCTGTTACTGCTGCTGCTGTTGCTGCTGCTGCTGTTGCTGCTGCTGTTGCAGGGTTAATGAGTATGTGTGTTTGTGTGTATAGGGATTGACGAGCAGAGGATCCAAGACTTCCCTAAGATTGAACTCCCTATGGTGTGTATACCTCTTTTTCTTTTTCTTTTTTATTCTTTTTATTCTTTTTCTTTCTTTTTATTCTTTTTATTCCTTTTTATTCTTTTTTTTTCTTTTTTATTCTTTTTATGTATTTATTTGCTGCAGACATCACCAGATGATCTTATACAAGCAGCAAAGGCATTAGGAGAATCAAAGAAAGATTCGCAGCAGAAGCAGCAAAAGAAGCAGCAGAAGCAGCAGCAGCAGCAGCAGCAGCAGCAAGGAAATGCTGATGGAGTATCAGACAAGAAGCCTCCAACAGATGCAGCAGCAGATTCATCTTCTGCTGCAGCATCAGATAAGAAGAAGAATAAAAAAGGCAGCAGCCAACCTGCAGCAGCAGCAGCAGCAGCAGCAGCAGAAAGACCAGTAGATGATCCTATGCGTCTTGATATGCGTGTTGGTATAATTAGGAAAGTATGGAGACATCCAGAGGCAGATAAGTAAGTCTTAAACAGCAGCAGCAGAAGCAGCAGCAGCAGCAGCAACAACAGCAGCAGGAGGAGCAGCAGGAGCAGCAAAATTGTATAGATATAGATAGCATATGGTTATAATACCTTGATATATAGATAATAAAAGAATTAGATAAACGAAATAAATAAAATAAATAATAAAAATAAATAATTATATTTCCTCTTTTTTCCCCCCTCCCCTCCCCCTCCTCCCCTTTTTGTGTGATGTGTACAGATTATACTGTGAAGAAATAGACTTTGGTTCGTCGTTGGGTACCCGATGTATATGCTCAGGATTAGTAGATTATATAAGTATAGATAATTTATTAAATAAAAAAGTAATTGTATTATTTAATTTAAAAGAAAAAACATTAAGAGGATTTAATTCTCATGGTATGGTCTTATGTGCTAATAATAAAGATAAACATTTGGTACAATTACTTACACCACCACATGATACACCTGTAAGTTTATTATCTCCTTCTCCTCCTTCTTCTTCTTCTCCTCCTCCTCCTCCTGCTGCTGCTGTCTTGTTGCTGTTGTTGTTATTGTTGTTGTTGTTGTTGTTGTTGTCTTGTTGCTGTTGTTGTGCTGCTGTTGTTGCTGTTGTCTTGCTGCTGTTGCTGCTGTTTTGCTGTTTTTATACTGCTGGTGTTCACGTGACGTTGTTCTGCTGCTGCTACAGTATGTTGCTGCTGCTGTTGCTGCTGCTCTCCCTGCTGCTGCTGCTGCTGCTGTTGTTGTTGTTGTTATTGTTGTTGTTGTTGTTGTATATTGATAGATTATTGTGTTATATATTGTGTATATACAGATAGGGGAGAGGGTAATCATAAAAGGATTAACAGGAGAACCTGATGATGTATTAAGTACTAAAAAAGGAAAAGATACATTAGCTCTTGTCTCCCCAGTAAGTAATATATATTATTATTATTTATTATTATTTATTATTATTTATTATTTATTTATTATTTATTTATTTATTTATTCTTTTTATTCTTTTTATTCTTTTTTATTATTTCTTTATTTTGTTTATAATGACTAATTATTACCATAGAGGACATTGTATATATATATGTATATATGTATATATGTATATATGTATATATGTATATATACATATATAAACTAATTAAATAATAATAAATACTTCTTATTTGCGTGCAAAGGGAATTTAATTTTTTTTCTTTTTTTTTTTGTTTTTTTTTTGTTTGTTTAGTTCTTAAAGACAAAGGATGATTGCGTCGCATACTATAAGGTTTGTCTTTTCTTCCCTATTAATTCTATATAAATAAATAAATAAATAAATAAATAAATAAATAAATAAATAAATAAATATAATGTATATTATATGTATATGTATAATATATATAAATATATTGTATATTATATGTATATTGATTTATTATATATAATTAATTTTGTGTCTTAATATAAATAAAACAAGAAATAAAAAAAGAAGGAAAAAAAAAGATAAAAAAGTATTCTTTTTTCTTTTTTTGTTTTTTTTTTCTGTGTAGGATATGCCTTTTGTGACTCCTCAAGGAGTTGTTAGATGCGAT